TTTATCTCGATGCCTCTCCGGCTGACCATGTAGCCGAGGAACTTGCCGCCCTGGACGCCGAAGGCGCACTTCTTGGGGTTGAGGCGGAGCCTGAACTCTTTCATTATTTCAAAGATTTCCCGGAGTTCGTCGGCGTGGGAGGTGGCCTGCCTGCTCTTGACGATCATGTCGTCGACGTACGCCTCCATCGTCCGGCCAAGGACCGCCCTGAAGATCTTGGCCACCATCCTAGTGTAGGTGGCGCCGGAGTTTTTGAGTCCGAAGGCCATGACGAGGTAGCAAAAGATTCCCTCTGGGGTCATGAATGCCGTCTTCTCAGCATCATCTTCATGCATGGAGATTTGGTGGTACCCTCTGAAAGCGTCGAGGAACGACATCAACTCGCACCCCGCCGTCTCGTCCACCAGCTGATCAATGTTGGGGAGAGGGAACGGGTCCATGGGGCACGCCTTGTTCAGGTCAGTGTAATCAACACACATTCTGAACGTCGGCGGTTTCTGGGCGAGGACGACGTTGGCCAACCATGTCGGGTACTTCACCTCTTTAATGTGTTTGATTGAGAGGAGCATGGCGACCTCCCCTTTGACGAAGTCCCGCCTGTCGGCGGACAAGTAGCGCCGCTTCTGTTTGACGGGCGCGAAGGCCGGATCGACGGTCAGCCGGTGAGTGATCACCTAGCGGCTGATGCCTGGCATATCGTCCGGGCCCCACGCGAAGACAACGGCGTACGACCGTAAGACGAGGAGGATGGCGTCTCGTTGGTCCTGGGGGAGTTGCTTCCCGATTCTGAGAACCCGCTCCGGCCGGGAGGTATCCAGAGGAATTTCCTCGACCTCCTCGGCCGGCTCCGCACGTGGCCTCTCCTCGTCCGTGGCGACGGCGGCCGTAATGGTGTCTATCCTCTGTCCTTCCCTTTCGGCCGGCCTCGTTAGCTTGAGGTAGCAAGCTCTGGCTATCCTCTGGTTTCCTCTGGCGTAGCCGATGCCGTCATTGGTGGGGAACTTCAGACATAGGTGCTTCATGGAGATGATGGCCTCCAAGTCCTCCAGCGCTGGCCGCCCCAAGATCAGGTTGTGGGCGCACTGGAGGTTGACCACCATGAACTCCATGTCAATCTTGGCGCGGTGGGGGCCGTCACCGACCTCCACGGGGAGGACTATCGTGCCCTCGGCGTCGATAGAGTCCCCGGTGAAGCCGGATAACGGTGTCTTGATCGGCCTCAGCAGAGCTCTGTCCAGCTTTAGCTGCTTGAAGGTGTCCAGGTACATCACATTGACGGAGCTCCCCGTATCGATGTAAGTGCGGTGGATGATGGAGTCACCGATCTCACACCGGATGACGAGGGCGTCCCTGTGTGATTCCGTACCCGGAGGCAGATCCTTGTTGGTGAAGGTGATCGCCTCCGTTCGCTGTTTCTTCGGCTGGGGGGGACGTGGGACACCTCCCCAATGTAAAGGGATTGGGCCCATTTCTTTCTCTGAGTGGCGGAGTCCCCCCCAGTGTTCCCACCTACGATGAGGTGAATGTGATTCTTCTTCGGCGGGAGCTCCTCGAAGTCCTCGTCGTCGCTGAGCCTTCCAATCTCCCGCTTCTTCGCAGAGGGTTCGCCCCCATGTTTGCCGGTGTTTACCCATGTGTTTTTGCGTGGGCCACCTTTAACAAACTGGGAGAGTTCCCCCTGGCGAATAAGGCGCTCGATGGCTTTCTTCAGTGTGATGCAATCGTCGGTGTTGTGCGACGAGTTCTTGTGGAACCGGCAGTATGTGCCGCCCTGCTGGATGGCAAGGATCTCCTCGGCCGGCCGAGGAGCCTGCTCGATGAGGCCGTGCTTCTCGGCATAATCGAGGATGGTGCCGACCGGGTGAGTGAGGGAGACCCCCGTCCGTTCCAACCTCGGCCGCCAGTGGCGATCTTTCTTACTCTGTCCATCAGAGCCGTGACGGCCCTGGGCACCCTGGCCGGCCGGGGACGGACCCGGGGCCGGCGAAGGATTTGTCTTCTTGGAGGGATGGCCCCCCTCCTTCTTGTGATTATGGAGCTCGTCGGCGTCGGCGTACAAGCCCCCGCGCTGGAGCGCCTTGGCGTACGACCTCGGGGGGTCGGTGATGAGGCTCCTAGCGTACGGGGAGCTGCGGAGGGCTCCCTGGTACAAGGCGAGGAGGGTGCGCTCATCGGCCCCCTCGACCTCCTCGGTCTCCCTCGTCCACCGATCGATGAATGACCGGAGGGACTTCTCGTGCTGCTGCTTGACGGAGAGGAGGTGGGTGAAATACTTCTTTGCACGCTTCCTCTCGGCAAAGTGGGTGAGGAAGCGTTGGGCGAGATCCTGCCAAGAGTCGATGCTCCCTTCGGGGAGCGCGTTGAACCACTCGTACGCTGGCCCCTCGAGAGTAGAGAGGAACCAACGGCAGAGGTATTCGTCGGACGCGTTCACCATCAGCATGTTGTTCTGATAACTGCTGAAGTGTTCCTGGGGGTCTGATCGGCCGTCGTAGGACTTGATGGCGTTCCCCCTGTACTTCTCCGGAATGGGGGCCGAGAGGACCCTGTTGGTGAAAGGGGTCCTGGTCCTGACCTGGATGATGGGATCACCTCGCCCCTCGGCCAGCTCCCTCTCCAGGGCGCTAACCTTGTTCATGAGTGCGTTGAGGTCGGGGTTGTTGGAGGCGCCGGCTGTAGGGATGTTGGCCGACTGCTTGGCCTCCATCTGAGCCAGCCTCCTTTCCAGCTGGGCGATGACCTCGTCCCGGGGGTCCCTGGCGGCCGCAGCGGCGCCCGGCTGGTTCCTCATGCGCTCGTTGTGAGCCGCGTTGATCTGGTGACGCACGTCATCCTCGTGCAACTTTCCCTTGCCCTTGTCCGGGCGGGGCTGGTCCGCTATCCGGGACACAGACCCCAAGCTTTCCCTCGGCGAGCCAGGACGAGGCTCACCAATCCGTCCCGCCATCCTCTCCGAAACCGGACGACGGCGCGTGTCACCTAGCCTATTGAAGGCAGAGGCTTTTCCACGCGCTGGGGTCTGCCCAGGCCGAAGAGGGGAAGCAGGGTGGGAGTGAGACGACGCCGTGTCCTGGGGCACCACCCCCTCATTGTTGCCTATCTGGACGGCCAACGGTTGGGGCTGAGGAGGTTGAGTGACGTTCCCCCCGGTCCTTGGCAAGAGTGCGCTGAGGACGGTGGGGTTCTGAGCTAGGCTGGCGATGATGGCCGACAGCGCGGCCTGGACCTGTGGATCCACGGACGGAGAGGCCGCGGCCATAGGCTGGGCCGGGGCGTAATCCGTCTTCTCAGCTCGTTTCTTGTCCAAGCCGAGGCGGGCATCAGGGGCTCCGCCGTTGAGTTGGTTGCAGAGGTCCGTCGTGAGGTTGAAGGCCTCCTGGAAGAGGTCCCCTCCGCCGGCTTGGTCGGCCGTGGCGTCCTCATCGTGCTCCCTGGGCTCTTGGTCCTCAGGGATGGCTTTGCTGACGAGGTTGCGGTTTGACTTAGTTCTCCCCATGATCAGTGGTTAGCTGTGCTCGGTAGCGACGAAGGGTGCTAACTTGATTGTTCTAGCTCTCAACGAGAGCACCAAATGATAGAGTATATCTAGAGAGAAGTGAGAGCTAGAGAGAGAAGTGCAATAATATGCTTCAATAGAATGAATTTTTCTCACCCCTATAACTACTCCCAAGGGGAGTATTTATAGAGAAAATACGGGCTGGGCTCCCAAGGCTTGGGCTTGGGAGGCCCATTTACAACTGGACCGCTACTGGGCCGAATACAAAGCCACTAATGGGCTGTACAAATAAGTAAGTGTAGAATCCGGTTCTGTGGAGTCTTCGTGGCTGACGAGGGCGTGGCCGACGAGGGCACGGCCGACGAGGGCGTGGCCGACGAGGGCACCCGGGTTCCTTGGCTTCAGGACCATAATCTGAGTTGGCACCTTTTCGGCCGACGGGGACGTCTTGGCCGACGAGGGCGCCACTCTGTGTCTTGTGCTTTCTGTTCTTCCGAGTGTGTGGGTCCGGGGGCTCAGACCCATATACTCCATCACTAATAATTAGTGCTAAATTATTATTTTGTAGTGTTTACTAAATTACTATGACGGGAAAAAGGAAACAAGAGTCAGGGGCTTCAAAGAGAAAAATTAAGAAAAGAAAAGATGAAGTAGTGCAATCTTTTGCGGGTTCCATGGATAGGTATGTAAAAATAAATCCTTCTCCATCGACCTCAAACAAAAATCTTGAGGCAAATGGTAAAGATGAGAGTGAAAATATTGGTGTTCAACTTGAGAACAAAAATGAAAACAAGGATGAGGGTAGATGTGTTGTAGATGATGAGGAGGCGGATGTTGATGTTGAGAATGATATTGTAGATGTGTTGCCTGTTATTCTTGATATGACCGAGTTATGTGATCCACGTAACTGGAAAGTACCTATTTCACACAAAAAAAAAGATTTTCTAGTTGAGAAGGACTCAATAAGAATTACTGGTCATGAATCATGATTACCCAATTGATAAAAAATGAAGTTTTAGTGACAAACACTAACTCGGATTAGAACACTAATTTTGATATTTAACACTAAAATTATTTACCTCTAATCCGAACTAGCAATATTGTACACTAAAAATTATTTACCGCCCGTAAGATTTGGGAGAATTAAATGAGAAATAATTTTAATTTACCTCTACTTATTTTTGTGGACAATATTGCTAGTTCAGATTATTTTTATGAATACTCACAGTACGGATTATTATTGTAGAATCACTTAAAGTAGAGATTATTTTTGTGAATTTTGCCTTTTATTATTACATAATTCAATGCGCGAAATCAAAAGTTACGTGTTTAAAAAAGTTATCCGATAAAATTGATATACAAAAAATAAGTCACCAAACGGGCTCTTAATATTCTTTTACTTTGAATATTTAGTGTATGGATTTATACTTTTTATACCTGTCATTGTACTCCTTTTTTTGGAAACGATGCAAGAATAAAAAAAATCTGATTTCGTATTTAATCAGTTCATGAATAAAAATATATGAACTCATTGCTTTTTCCGTGCGTATGCACGTACTACACTACTTATACAGTTATACTAGTACATTTTAAAGCACAAACCATGAAGTCATTCATATTCATTACGAATAAGTAAAAAAAAAAGCTAAGTTTTTAACACAAAAAATTAACATAAAAAGGTCTTGCAACACTAAGCAACAAAAAAAACAGAATTCTTGCAAGTTCACGTCTCAGAAAAGGTCTTGTTGTTGAAATGCTTCCCCAAAGTTCCAAGGACTTGGCAACGATTTTTTGAACCCTGTAAAAAAATGAATGTTCGTAATATATCAATGCCCTCAAGTGTAGAGAAAACAGTAGAAACAGTTGAAGGACCAAAAGTGTCACTTCTACAAAAGTCGAAGGACTAAATACAGAAATTTTCAAAGACGGATACCAAAAGTGTCTCTCGCACAATAGTTGAGGACTAAAAGTGTAAAAATTAAAAGCCGAGTACCAAAAGTGTCACTGACACAATAGTCGAGGGACTAAAAGTGGCAAAAACTCTCATCTTAAAACAGTTATAAAGATGTAAGGCTGGAAAACAATGCTAAAAACTACACAAAAGTATAAATATACGATAGTATATACCTACCGGTGGAAAGCAATCTTACTGCCTAGATGGTACTCCGTACAACCTGAGCTTGAAACTGCCAACAATTTCTCTAGCCTTACGAGGAAATTAAAATTGGGAAAATGAAAACTAATAATCCAACCTTTTAGCGGTTTTCTTACAATAGTCTCACCTTTTGATTATTCATGAATAATCCAACTTTGCACTCCATCTTCATTCACTGGTCCCTGATCGATTTATGACCTGTTATTCCAAGTTATTTTCTTATCTTTGTAAAACATTATACCATAATTCCCACCTTATGATCACATAATGTTTTGCAAAGATAAGAAAATAGCTTGGAATAACAGATCATAAATCGGCCAGGGACCAATGAATGAAGATGGGGTGCAAAGGTTGGATTATTCATTAATAATCAAAAGGTGGTGGAACTATTGTAAGAAGACCGCTAAAAGGTTGGATTATTAGTTTCCATTTTCCCATTAAAATTTTACATAGCCGCTTAAACTAATCTCCAATAAAGGCAAATGCGGATAAACTGAAATTATCAAAATGTTCAATAAAAACACATTGTTCAGTTATGCTAATTCATTGATAAAATTATTTTAGACTTTGGAACAGTAGAATACTAGAATATAGTACATAAAACATTACTTGAACTTGTGTATATTTTTGTACACCTTTTCTAAATCTTTTGCACTGACAAGTTTATATGTAAAATTAGGCAGCAGATAAAAATGCTTGCCGAAAAAAATCAAATTTTTCAGACAATAAATGTTTTTTTGGAAGCTCAGACAATAATAAATGTTTGAAAGACAAAACAGTCCAAACAAGGCGAAAAAGTTGTACTCCGTATAAAATTAGAGCACAAACAAAAAATAGGTCGAAAAAATATTTTTATAGATAATAAAGGGAAAATCGCATAAAATCGTAGACCTGTATTTTTGAGATTGTAAATGTTACCCCTCAATTATCCAAATTGTTGTAAATGTGGTCCTTTAAGTGGTGAAATGTACTCTCGCTCACATTGTATATTTCACCCCTCAAAAGAACCACATTTACAACATTTTGGACAATTGAGGGGTGACAATTACAATCTCAGAAATACAGGTATGAAATTTTAATTTTGTGGATAACTGAGGGACCATATATGCGATTTTCCCGATAATAAATGTCTAACACTCTAACTGTGACAAAAATGTTTTACACAAAGTAAAAAAGTGTAGATTTTTTGTATACATTTTCAATATCCTTCGCGCAGACCATATTTGTTTTTCTAAAGTTAGAGAACAGACAAAAGTTATCAATCTGCAAAATCCACTTTTGCCAGTGCCCTAACTTTACAAACAAATATTGTCTATACAAATATTGTCTATACAACTGAGGATGACATTTACAAAATTGAAAATAAAGGGACTACATTTCGATATGCACAGTTGCACACTAACTAAGGGATTGAAAGCTGGGCTTTCCCTTGTATATAATTGAAATAAAAATTTATACTACCTCCGTTTCTATTTGTTTGACATAGTTTGACTTGTCAAGGATTAAAGAAAAAATGTTACTGAGGGGTAAATTTTACTGTAGAGTACATTGTTTGGCACTGTTTGAACACTGTTTGGCACTGTTTGAACACTGTTTGACACTGTTTGGCACTGTTTTGGTAAAGATTTGTTTACCAAATAAGGAAATAAGGAAGTGTGGCATTCATTCTGAAACATCCAAAAAAGTAAAGTGTGTCAAAAAAACAGAAACGGGGGGAGTACTAAATTTATTAAGTATTCAATTGTATATAATAATGGTCAAATATCAAGAGTAAATACCTTGAAAGTTAAGGTGAGAACTTAATTGAGGGCAGGGGTAATATAAAGCAATTGCTTACCTATGAATAGTCGATCTCTGCCATTTGTGATGGTCGGGGAAACCGTACTAGCTCTTTAAGTATCAGGAGTTGCTTTTCAGTACACACTTTGGTATTGGCTTTTATAATCATTTTCTTGAGCACCGGAGATTTGATTAAAAGAAGTTTTGCAAGCCTCATTTGGTTCCTAGCACCTGTAAATCTTCTCAGATTTACCATCCTCAGCTTATCCAGTTTCACGTCTGAATATTCTTCAACATCCAGAGAATGGAGAGGACTTTGGGCAAAAACAGCATCATGAGAATCGGCTAACTAAATGAAGCAAAAAGAAACTCTGAATATCATCGAAGAACTTGCATGATAGAGACAGTATTAAAAGGAATAATTATTACTCACAAATATGGTGATATCTTGCAAGTTCGGCGCTATTCTAAGCAGAAAAAGTACAAATGCCATACCCACAGTTTTTTCTAAACAAAATCCACTAAGTCTAACAGCATCAAGGTGGACAGCAGTCAAACTTGGTCTTGCTGGGACTCCACCGGAAGCTATACACTACAAACATTACACCCAGATAAAAAATGATGTTAGCCTCTGGATATAAAACAATCAAGTGAACATAATATTAATTAGAGCATAGGAATTTCCAGACCTTTGTGAAGCTATAATCAACACATATCAACTGTAGAGCAGGCAGAGAACCGAAAAACTCTACAACTTTAGAGTATCCTGATATTGAATGCTGTCCAATCATCATACAATCTACAACCCATACTTCTTTGAGGACTGGGCTGTTCTTGAAACAAATATCTTTTATACGGCTAAGGAACTTAAAGTGCTTGAGTTTAGGAGCATGAATCTCAAGAGATTCATATGTATATGTGGAAGAAGTTTTGAGCCGCAAATGTTCAAGTAGCGGGCAAGAAGAAACAAGACTTGCAAGTTGTTCTGAACCAATGCTTACCAAATTCATTTTAAGAGTAATAAGTTGGTTAAATCCTGTGAAATTGGGAGGCAGATGGACCTGATAGGAATAAAGTGCAACGTGTTTCAGATTTTTACATCTGAAAAATGATGAAGGCAATAGACACCGGTCAGCCTGAATATCAAGTGTGAGGACCTCAACATCACTTTTTGACAGAATAAGGAGTAAGTTGTCAATTTCTGGGCAATCTTTCAGTTTGGACAATGCAATTGTGACCTGGTTAATAGGACCTTCATGGTTCAACACAATATGGAAGATACCCCTGACACATGTTAGAAATGCTGAATCCTCACTCACACTTCTTTCTGGCCAAAGTGTATCATCAAGTTTAATGTGTGAAAGCTTTGTCCATGTATACTTCCAATTACTTGAGAGCACACTTGTTCTTACAGCTTCTAGAAGGGGCAAGCACGTTAAAATGGCCATCCTTAAACATTCAGGGAGGTTGCTGATGATATCATGATGGTAGTTCTTATCGATCAACATTCTCTGAAACTGTGGAAATACTTCTTTTAGTAACACACACATATATGGGGAGGTTTAAATAAAAAATGTGCTTATCATGAGAAATGCAAAATGCAAAATCTTAAGTCCATACAAGCACTTTTATGTTCAAACATTACATTTTTTGCAGTTGCAAATGAGTTCCTCTAATTACGAAATTGCCACCACGTTTTGAACCACTTTGGGTCATATGTGTATAGAGATATTACTACACATGGTAAGGGCTTCACATTTGGAAAGAAAATATTAATCATATAATGGGATACATGACTTGTTTTTGCCATATTCTTGATAACTTTCTCCAAACTATTCAAGATGTTCACATAAAATAAGCTCGACATGCTCAAGGTGCAGAACAAGACAACATTCAGCATACTTGAAATGGTGAGCATATCAGTCATCATGAACTGAAGAAAAATATTGAAACAAAGCTGTGGCAAAAATAAGGATAGTAAATTGCTATTAACCTATGAATTTGCAATAAAAGATTTCAATTTCATCTTGATAAGCAGCAGTAAGTTTTAGAGTTGTGAAACAAACATACAATCAGAGCAAACAAAAGTGAAGTTGCAAGGATTAAAACAACATCAGACTCAAGATTAATGTTAAACCAGTGGATAACAACAACATAGGGATTTTATAAACTGCAATTTGCAAACCAAACCTCATATTGAAGAAATGAAACACTAACTCCAAAGTACCATATCCTGTTGAATGAGAGTATATCATAGTAGATTTGAGTGAACTCTTAAGCGAAGTGGATCATTGGTGTCCTTTTGGCAAATACTTTTTAAATGAATAACATTAGCAGGAAAACATCCAGCGTAAGAAATTACTGAATTGTATGAGTTGGGAAGGCACATACGAATGACCAGAAACTTGGGAGGTTAAAGTATAGAAGCAAATGGAGCCAGACTTAATTTTCTTATATACCATCTACAGAGTATATGTTTTTTAAGACATACTCAGATATTCGGGCATATAGCCTTGATGTCATTGCATTTGGGAAACGAGACAGGACAGAAAATCCTAGTTTTATATGAGAAAATAAAACTTAAGTACTCCACAGTTCATACCCTCAGACATTGTATCATGGTAACAATTCATACCCACAGATGTTCAAAGTCAGTTTACACTTCTACTTACTACACTTACCACTTTCAAAGTATAAACTAATTGATAATTTGATGGTATAATATGCAAAAGAAAGACTAATAACAGATTCTGAATCATAGGGTTCTATAGGCACCCATACTAGTCACATTGAGCACACAACAGGATTTGTTTCCTACATGGCACATATTATTCAAGCTCAATTGCTACAGTGTATAAGTCGAATTAAAAGCTGACGTCTAATATTAACTCTGTGTCATTGACACCATTAAATTAGATGAGAAATAAGAAAAGTAAAAACTGTATAGTTAAAGTTTGGACATAGAAAAAAAAACTAGCCTAAAATCATAAATTAATTACCTCAACAGGAAAGTGAGAGATTTTGGGACAACAAAAAAAGGCAAAACAAGAAATGGAAAGGTACAATGGGACGGAAGGATGAAGTTATCAAAACCAAACAAGAGGTAACAAACACTTTTTCTAAAAGTTCTAAAGTTGATATTTATCTAATTACTCCGCATTTTTACTATTATTATTGTTGTTTGAAAAAGAAACAAGTTTGGATATTAATAATGCATAAGCCAGGACCAGCAATCGAACTGGAAACTTCAGTAAAACAAGTGTCTTTTTAGTGCCTCAAATAGGCTTCGACGGAGTGAGAATAAGCACTACAAATCGCTATCAGTCGTTCTTATTATCAAAACTTCATATTCATATGTGAACATCGAATAAAACAAGCAATGAAAAGAAGTAGAGCAGCAACGCACTAACCCTGATATCGAAATTTTGGCTCTGTAGAAACCTCCAAACCCAGAAGCAGGTACGGTCAACAAAAAATTAAACATAACTCCTGTTCATTTAGGGAGTACTGTATTATTATTTTTTTAAGTACATCAGAACGTTTAAAAGTCTACCTAAGTCTAGGTGTATTCAACGTAAGCTTTTAAAAGTCTATAAAAGTCTAGACATATTCAAATTTCAGTTCATTCTTATTGACTTCTAAAATCATGGATTCACGTTGATTTTTAATTCATTTTTAGTACATTATTTCTCTAGAATTGTCTTTTCTCCTCACCAAAGATTTTCAGTGGACTTTTCTAGTTGCTTTCTACTCGTCACAAGTACGCTTAGATCTGATTTCAGATTTCACTAATTATTTACCCGGGATCACAAATCGGCCAACAAGTCCTGGACTAGTACCGACCGGGAGGTGGGTATCAAGATGGTCTCAGTATGCAAGATTTGAATATTAAATTTTGATTTTTTCTATCATTTTAAGATAAATAAAGTTGAACAAAGAGATTCTACATTAATACTGCTGGAGTTTAATCCAACTACGAGAGCTATACTTATGAGAGCAAATGAAAATATGGCAGCATAAGGCAGAATTCTATTATCCGGAGTTCGGTCCCTTGATGGGAAATTTACAGGAAGTATTTATAGACTATCTGGAGTAGCGTCCTATAAAATGGGTGATTTGCACTTTTCGGTTAGTTCGAGAGCTTATTTGCCCCTTTTCTCTAAATAATATACTTTGTAGCTATTAGAAAAGTTTATAATTCTGTCAAATATGTTGCATATGTAATTGTTACTCCATATAAGACATTTAAATGAATGCATATTTTTATGAAGCGAATCCATTTTCATGAACTTAGACGTGTTGCTGACTCCTACAATACAAGTTTAGGATAATATATTTGATGATGAAAGTGATTTAAAATCAAGTGACATTGCTTGTAGCTTGATAGAAATGATAGAAGGTTATCAATTTGTATTCATTGGGTAGTTGATGACAAAAGTATTGTGATTGACGAATATATTGTCACATTTCTTAAAATAAAAGATCGAGATATTCCCGAGATTGTGATCTTGATTAAGAACACAAAAGGTAAATTTCAAGTTTTGAGAGAAAATGGATTAGAAGATTTCTTAAAAGATGTCAATAATTCTTTTGTTAATTAACAACAAAGTTAACATTCTTAACATGGAAGATATAAATCATCGTTCTAGATACGTTCATTGTTCAATAATAAATTATCACCACTTTGAAGCTGTTATATCATCATCATAATCATAGTCATCATCACCATCACCATCACCATCATTCATTATGATTCATTTTTGGACACAACAATTTTGTGGCACGATGTATAACATTGAACACGATCGTAATTATGAATTGAAATTCTGACTATTTTGTAGTAAAAAAATAACTTTGAATTCTAACCCAAAATAGAAATGGTGCAAAGATGATGCAATTATAAATCATATCATGTTTTTTAATAAAAATGATTATTATTCTTTAGAATTGTGTGAATAGATTGAAAACTAGATCTGTAATACCCATTAGATAAATGGGGCGGTTAGGGGAGGGAAATAATTACAGGGGTGGACACGGTCCGGAACGGTCCAGTAAATTGGTAAACCCCGTTATGTATCGGTGAGGTTTTTAACGGTCCGGTTCCAAGGATAGAACCGTTCGGTACCATGTCTTCTTCTTCTTCTTCTTCTTCTTCCTCTTCCTCTTCTTCTTCCTCTTCTTCTTCTTCTTCTTCTTCTTCTTCTTCTTCTTCTTCTTCTTCTTCTTCCTCCTCCTCCTCCTCTTCCTCTTCCTCTTCCTCTTCCTCCTCCTCCTCCTCCTCTTCTTCTTCCTCCTCCTCCTCCTCCTCCTCTTCTTCTTCCTCCTCTTCTTCTTTTTCCTCCTCCTCCTCTTCCTCTTCTGCTTCCTCTTCTGCCTCCTCCTCCCCCTCCTCCTCCTCCTCCTCCTCTTCCTCTTCTGCTTCCTCCTCCTCTTCTTCCCCTTCTTCCTCTTCTTCTTCATCCTCCTCTTCTGCCTCCTCCTCCTCCTCCTCCTCTTCCTCTTCTGCTTCCTCCTCCTCTTCTTCCTCTTCTTCCTCTTCTGCTTCATCCTCCTCTTCTTCCTCTTCTGCCTCCTCCTCCTCCTCCTCCTTATTCTTCTTCTTCTTTAAGGTTTAAATCTTAAACCTTGAGAGATAAGATTTAAACCATATTAATTAAGTTGTAAAAAATTGCACAAATATGATACAACAAAAACTCATGTACACTACATTACTAGAAATGAATAGTCATTATTGATTTCTAAAATTTTAATACTTTCAATACATACCAAAATATAACATAAATTATCTAAAAAGAAAGAATAACAATATATATAGACACACATATTTAGATATCTTAGGGACACATGAATACATACTTGGGCTATAATATTGTTGGTCTATAAAAGAGATCTATTGGTATAAAAAAATTAAAATGCATTATTTTTGAACGGTTCGGTCCGGTATTTTTCGTTTCGCAAAATCTAGGACCGATCCCGTACTCATTTCAAACGGTACGATTTCGGTACGGGATAAAAATCTATAGAACCATTTAAATACCCGTTATTCGGTTCGGTACCATTACAGGATGGTTCGGTACCGATTCGGTTCGGGTTTCATGCCCACACCTAGGAAATTAGCTAAAACCTTCCCGATCCTCTGTTGCCATCCCGACGCACTTAACCTTAAAATAAAATAAATTCCTTTAAGATTCTACATTCTAGAACCCTAAATCGCAGAAAAACTGAAACCAAGCGCGGTTCAATAATTTCTCACAGATCTGAGTATCAGTTTCTCTCCGGGCTCTACACTACCATTCTACAGCCGGCTTGAAGCCCATTAGCTACACTCTGCTTCTTTCACATCCCAATCCCGACGCACTTACTCTTTCTTTCTCGGCAGTGTCCGGTTCCTTTGACCTTGTATCTGGTCGGCCAAGTGGACTATACTCCCACACGCGATTTATCACCAGCTTTTTCATTTTCTTGAATCGTAGGCGGCTTGGCAAATCCATCCGGGCGGGATGGAAGATGAACATGGAAATAACGTTAGGAAGGAGAGGAATCAACGGAAAGACCATGGTCGTTTTGAAAAGAATGGTGACCGAAGGAAAGATAGGCACATGAAAGATCGGCATGACGATGATGGTGGTGATATTCGTACGAAGGAGAGGAAACAACGGAAAGACCGCGAAGATTATGAGTTTAGTGGTGACAGAAGGAGGCAAAAGGAGGACCTTTATGAAGATGAAGGTAGAGATAATAGTAGGAGAGATAGGAAACCACAGAAAGACCTCGACGGCTATGAAGATAATGGCAATAGAAGAAAAAATAGGCACAATGATGACTCTTTTGAAGATGAAGGTGGATATAATAGTAAGAGGGAGATGAAACAACAGAAAGACTTTGATGGGTATGAAGGCAATGTTAATAGAAGGAAAGATAGGCACAATGCTGATTCTTATGAAGATGAAGATAGAGATAATGGCAGCAGGAGGGATAATAAGCAACATAAATACAGTGATGAAAGTGAAGACAGTGGTGATAGAAGGAAAAACAGGCACATGGAGGATCATCACGAAGATGACAGTAGAAACAATGGTAGGACGGTGAGGAAGAAACAGAAAGACAGAGGGAACTATGATTCTGGGAGAAGGGAAACTAGGCATAGAGAAGATAGTTATGAAGATTTCAGGGATTCTAGTCGAGAAGATCATAGAAAGGAGAAAGAAAGAGATAAGAAGGTTAGAAATACAGTGGATGGTGAAAAAGACAAGAGGCATAAAAGCAGGGAGGGGAAGCATGATAGGGGTAATCATAATGATAACAAGAGTAGACAGAAGGTTGCAAAAGATGATAACTTGAACGAGGACTCTAAGGTGTCAAAACAAGAAGGGAATGTGCCAAATCTGACTGCTGAATTGGGGAGGAGCGGAGGAGTTTACATCCCTCCTTTTAAGTTGGCTAGGATGATGAAGGAAGTAGAGGACAAAAGCTCAGTGGAATACCAAAGGATGACATGGGATGCTCTTAGGAAGAGTATAAATGGGTTGGTTAATAAAGTGAATGCAACAAATATAAAGAACATAATTCCAGAACTGTTTGCCGAGAATCTGATTCGTGGAAGGGGCTTGTTTTGCCGCTCTTGTATGAAGTCCCAAATGGCCTCTCCTGGTTTTACTGATGTATTTGCAGCATTGGCTGCTATTGTTAACACCAAGTTTCCAGAGGTGGGAGATCTTCTTTTGAGGAGGATTATTTTGCAGCTTCAAAGAGCCTACAAACGCAATGATAAGGTCCATACTTCTTATCCTCTTTCCATCCATAGCCTCACTTTGTTTTGCTCATGTTGGTAGATTACATTTTAATCATTAAATTGATGTGTAATTATTTATTGCTAAAGTGAGTGGTATGTTGAAACAGTGATGCCCTTTTATTTTGCTTAGGGTAGTGCCAATATTTTTTTTTCTTCAGATTCTTCTATTCATCATTTAATTTTTAACATCCATGGTGTGGTTTCCTTGCAGCCCAAATTGTTGGCAGCTGTTAAATTCATTGCTCATCTTGTAAACCAGCAAGTAGTTCATGAGCTGATTGCTCTTGAACTTCTTGCTGTTTTGCTTGAAAATCCCTCAGACGACAGTGTTGAAGTTGCAGTTGGTTTTGTTACTGAGTGTGGATCTATTCTCCAAGACTTGACTCCACGTGGATTGCACGGTATGCCATTTTTTAAAGTGTATAATTTCAATAACCTTTCAAATTGGTTTGAAATTTGTCCATTTTACATATGTCTGTGCTGTTTTGAACACTCCAGGATTCCAGAATTAATCAGATATTGAACACTATCAATTCTTTGTAAAGATTCTTATGCACTCCTTTGATCCTTTCTTTGCTTGGCATCGCAAGTGGTGAAGCTTTATTTTTTTATAGTTTGTTTCTATTTTAAAGCTTTGGGTATATTCAGAGTTGCCCTAGAAATGTAGAAAGTTTTCTTATGGGTTTTGTGACCCTTTGAAAAGCTTCTCTTTAGATCATACCAATAATAGTCATGAGTATCATGACTTTTAAAGGGTAATATTGTAG